GCCAACTCATTTGCGGATGGGTTGGCCAAGCAAGGAGTGACTAGGGAGGTTGTTTTCTGGGCTAGTTTTTAATTTTCTTTGCTTTCCCTGAGTTTTCTGTTTTTTGGGGAGCTAAGTTATTTTATCTCCCTCTGTATTCCTTTCCCTCTATTCTCTTAATTTAATGAAATTGATGTTATTGATCAAAAAAAAAAAAAGGCAAAATCCACCAAAGTTTAATTTTATCCATCCATCTTATGTTCTCCATGATACCTATCTTTGTCTTCTATTTGCATATAGCTACCATTTTCCATCCCCTAAAAAGATAATCCATAGAAATCCCTTTAACTTCACATGTCAATAACCAAATTTCCATTCTCACTTTGATGAGCTCAATTGACCTATAGATTTCTAATTTCTTATTTTCAAAAATTCTAGCACTACTCGCCCCAAATACTCCATGGAATGGCTACCCTAGTATGGTGCAATAATAGTTTTTTCCTTCTTGTGTAGCAAGGAAATGCATTGAAAACAGCTCTTAGCTCACCTGCAGTAGGTTTCTAAGAAGCCCCAGAAAGGAAAAGGAAGTGGTTCCATGCCCAAGATACAAAATTGCAAAGACAAGAATTCTTTCCCCACTTTTGAGGCATAACAGACATGAGGAGACAGGCACCAAGTCTACCTTCTCTATTGAAACCTCTCACAAGTGTTGATAATCTAAAATGCGACCTCCCAAGAAATAACTTAACCTTAGGAGGAGAGGGCAGTGATTTAAAAGGCAAACCTCAAGTGTGCCTAGGCGCACATGCGATGTGTATTTTAGGGTATGAACCTCGCCTAGGTCCTAGGCGTGGCCCTTTCAAAAGGTGCGCGCCTAGTACACCTAGGTGTGTGCATGATGCGCCTTGCACCTCAACCCAGGCGTGCACCTTTTGAAAATTTGATGCATTTTTGCCTTTTTTGAACCTAGCAGCTAGGCCAGGAGCTCCACCCCTAGACCCCCATGCCACACCCCTCAAGGCAAACCCAAACAAGTCCATTTTAGGGTCTTAAATTCTTAATTCTCATATAAAAAATAATGATTTTATAATTTTAATTGCTTTTTAAGAAGATATTTTATTATTATGAATGAATGAATGAACAACATTAGCAAATAGGGGGTTCTACTCCGCTCTGGTTCGCTTGCTCACCAAAGCCTCGAGAACCCCCTATTTGAAGATATTTTATTAGAATCAGGAATGTAATATGTTTTACATCACATTAGCTACTTGAAGTAATGCAATTGAGGAAAAATTCCAAATAACTCCTTGTGCTTTTAAAACACTGGGAGAGGGAAAATTCCAAATAACTCCTACAGGAAAAGGTTTGTGTTAAGGGATTGAAAGGTGGACAAAGAAGTTTCACAATGATACATACAGGGACCAAATTCATTTGTCAATGCCAAAAGGTTTGAAGCCTCCATAGATTCATTATCTCAATACTCTTCTTAATCCCAAATCTCATGCCACCCCTCCCATGGAAATCATCTAGGTGATGTAGGACTAACCCAATTCCAGGCCTTAGAGAATGTGGACTAGCCTTCTTGATAAAAAATTTATGATTGTTGATGAATAAAGTGACTTCTTGAAGGAATAAGAAAGGAAATAGAGAGATAAAGAAGAGATAATAATACCAGCAATCACTCAAGGGGTACCTAGAATCACTCTATGGTATGAGAATCACTGAGTATAATTAGCATAAGCTTAAGAAAAGAAACTTCATTGATCTTTGTGTAAAACGTCCATACATATTTATAGACTCTAAACTCATAATAACTCCAGGAGTCAAACTATTAGACTCATAAAAATCCTAGTAGGACTATTTATCAAAAAAAAAAAATCCTAGGACTCAAACTGAACTACCATTATCCCATTTCAATTCAAAGAAAACTCAATGACTTCAATCCTACTTATTCAATGACTTTGAAACCTTAAACATAAACAAACTATAAATAAAGTATACCCTATAAATGGACCCCCAAAGAAAATTGCAATATGACAATAATACCCCTGCTGTCCAATTCAGTCCAAACCCCAAGTACCATCATTATGCCATATCAGGACCTATTGTAACACCTTCTTTCTAGAATAAGTCTTTAAGGGTGCTGACTGATTCCTATCACTGGGGCAGTTCACAAATTGGTTTGTTTTCCTTATTTGACAAGGCAAAAATCCTAGGGAATAACAACCTTAAAGGTACATTTCACCACCATCTTCCAAAAATTTTCACCCCATTCCAAGGGCTCCTAATAGTAGCTCCCCTACATATTAACAATTACCAAATCCCCTAGTTCCCCAAGAATACAGCCTCCCATACCTAGACCACCTTCTTCTTTGGCTCTGCAAACTTTCCCTAATTTAATTAGATAATCTTTCTTTTTCTTTGTTTCCAGCTCCCAGAGAAAGTCCTTTTGTTATTTTCTCAATTTGCTTCACCTCTTTGATCAGGACCTAAAAAGAGAAAAAGAAATAGAAGGGAGATTAAAAAAAAGATTTGATGAGAGTGACCTCACCCCCATTGATATGTAAATCTTTTTTCAATGTTGCTAGTTGTTTAGAAAATGTCTCCACAACCTTATCCCAAAATAACCTCTCTAGAATTCCCCCTAGAGGTAAGCCCAAGTATTTGAGTGGCCAATCCTTGATGCCATATGCTTTCTATTCATCCCTGGAATATATGTGAAGTGCTTTCTCTATCGATAAGAAAAGCAAGAACCCTTTTACTTGAACAAATTATACATACATATGATTTACCAAAAAAACATTTATACATACATAATAATGCAGGTGTTGGCTACTGCTCAAAAAGAAAAACTACAACTACCACATCTAGTTTAGATAATCCTCAATTAAATAAAGAAACATATACCCAAATAACAGAAAAGGCTAGCCTCTCAACATCAGATCGAAGAGAACATATATCTGCAAGAAGAATGTTATATTACAAGGTTTGAAGCCAAAAAATAAAAAATTAAAAAAAGATCTTACCAAAGCAAAGAAAAAATACCTTCTGTTAGGGGTTTTGGTAGCATATCAATTCGACGCTCAACAAGATAAACAGATGTACCCCTCTGTGAAGCTTCATCATCAAGTGGGGTACCAGGGTGAACAAAATTCGTTACATCAGCAATATCTAATTACATTTTGTTAAATATTAACAATAGATATTCATGTGTAAACAATCAAGAATGTCAAAAGAATCTTGCACAAATGGTTGAATCCCATGGCAATGAAAGAGCTAGTCTTGCTACACATTTTTCTAGTGTCAACTTTGGTCAAAAGTTGCAAATAGAGGACTAGTAAACAAAGGTGGCATTTGGCAAGTCTTTCCGCCTGGGCTTCTAGGCTTCGACAAGCTCGAAAGATTGAAAATCAGTCTTTTTCCATTTGATAACCAAAAGCTGAAAAGATGAGAAGACATGTGTGCAGAAAGACGCAAAAAGACCGAAAACGCCGAATTCAAGAAGCTTCAAATGAAGCTTTCTGGTCTTTCTGCGTGATAGATCAATAGCCTCTAAACACATTTTTAAAAGCCCGGTAAACCGAGCAGCTTACCAAACAGTCTTTGTATTTAAAGATAAGACCCCAAAAGCTCAATATGTCTTTTGGCCATCTGAGCTATTAGAAGATCTTTCTAAAAAGACTTGCCAAACAGCACCAAAATTAAAGAGTATTGTACCTATAATGTAATTGCAGTAAATAAAGCAGCAATGTGCAGTGCATGGCTATAAAGCTATAATCAGTAGCCGCATAAGAGCTCCCAACTGGAATAAACACTAGAGAAATGCATATACATACATGCATAAGTATGTATACATGCACGCATGTATATGCATATATGTACATGCATGCATGTGCATAAACATAGTTATGGGTAAAACAAAACTATCTGCCTCTCCAAAACTATCAGCCGTTTTTCCAATAGTTGTAGTATTGACAAACTCTAACTTCACCAGAATATCAACCCAACTAAGGTTTTCATGGAAAATCTCAATCAGGTTCCATCAAAATGCCAATTTTAATGGAGATGAAAATCAATTGTTTGGAGGATACGAACTCCCACTTCAAAGTTTCCATTTGAAAGAGCTGTACAGTGCAATGCATCATCAATATCCTTGCATCCTAAACCAACCAGAGGCATCATGGTAACCATTATTAACTTATAGCATAGAAAAGCATTAAGAGTATACAAAATATACAAATATAGCAAGCAGGTCATATGCAAGAATAATATAAACAAATAGAATCAAAATATGTGTAGCACACTTACCTGGAGGATCAACACTAAAAACACGCAAATGTCGCAAATCCTGTCTGTTAGGATTTGCGAGATCTTCCGAGGATAATGACCATGGTAAGGGTGGCAAGCAAGCCAACACTTGAGCAGAAAATGGTCTAGAGTCTATGTCATTCTCAATTAAAACCACCTGAAGCATAAATAGAGATTAGTTGCAGTAAAAACTATCAAATTTCTAATGATTTATCAATCATCTTTTCTAGGGACAGGCTAGTTTAGGAAAGAAAACATATTCTAAATATGAATAGAAATGAATTCAATTTGAAAGCCCTCAAAAAGGTATTGACATTTGTTTATCAGGAAATGGTGAAGAAAATAAAACAATCAATACTTGCCTCGCTTTCAGTATCTCTGTCACCAATTTCCCCAATGGTCCTTACATAGTGACCAGAAGGATATCGCGATAAACAATCCCAAGAATCAACAGCCACAATGATTCTCTTGTCCAAAAGATTCCCAAGCTGTCGTGTTTGAATTCGAATCTTAGGAATTCTGCGATCTTTGGACACAAATAAAGCATGTGCAACACCACCATTAGCTGCAGGCATAGGCATTGGCTCCAAAGACCCACAATAACTGCATGAAATTATCTCAGTTTAAATAAGGAATGACAAACTCGGTTGCAGAATCAATCACTAGTAAGTAGTAAATCATATCAGCAGAAAGGTATACATTACATTCTAATACAAAATACAAAATAATCAAAGATTGTCAAGTCCAAAACATGGTAGAAATTAACATGGTTAGTGTTAAAGTGTGCCGAATAGGGGTAGTTTAGTCTTCTTATGTTTGTTAAGTAGCTTGCATATGTGGCAGTGTTATTAGAGTTACTCTGCCCCACACTTAAGTAAGGGCATTTTTGTCTTTATAAAGATTATTAGAGTCTAATATAATTAAGGGGGTCAACTGTATGGGTAACCCATCAGATTTCAACAGACCCTTCTTCTTCTTCTTCTCTTCTTCTTCTTCTTCTTCTCTTTCTGGTTCGGACTACTGTAGCACCAGTCGAAACATGGTATCAGAGCCATGCTCCTGACCTACTTCAGTTGGTAAAGCGCCTCAGCGGTGTTCGTGACTCTTCTCCTTCGTTTCTAGTCAGTCAATGGAGAGAACTGGTTCACCCTAGGTCAGAAACATCACAGCTCGTCTCTCTCTACTGCGCATAACCTTTTTCAGCAAGGAAAGTGACTTCAGCAGTGAATGGTTGGTTGATATTCTCAAAAGAAGGCTGGTTTTCTCTTCTTCTAGTATTACTGGTATTTCTGGGTAGAAACCCTACAAGAAGCTGTTAGTATTGATTGGAACCTAGAGAACTAGGTTCATTGTTGCCCTAGAAAGGGTTGTGTGTGCAGTAGCCGAATGGTATAGGGCTGCTGTAAGTGGCCAAGTGGTATAAGGTGGAATGCAGTGACCTTGCCGAGCTCTTTGTGGTTGTGTAATGCCCTCTTAAGTGTGTTAAACAAGTCTGAACTGGGTGTAGCAGTTTTGACTGTGTTATGATGCTTGTGATGCACATTTTTTTATTGAGTGGTTGTAAGAGGGCCTATTTGTGATTAGTGAGTGGTAATTTGATGCTTATGTGAGTCGTGGGTGTGTGAAGTCAGCAGTAGTGTGAATAAGAACAAGTGTGTGCTCCCACTGTTGTGTTTAGGGGCTGCAGTAGGTGCTGAAGTATCAAACTGTGAACAACATCAAGCAGCTTGTAGCTGAGAAGTAAGGTTAGAGGCAACTGTGAAAGAGTACAATGGCACCAATAGGAGATGGGTACAATGATCAGAAACCTAGTGTGGTTATTTCCCCCGACTACCTAGGAGTACAAATGACCTCAATTAAGCTGAATGGGGAGAACTATGTTCCATGGGCTAAATCAGTGGAAGTTTTTCTCAAGGCAAAGAAGAAAGTAAAGCATGTAAGAGATGAGAAGCCACCGGTTGACTCTCCAGGATTTAATGATTGGGAACAAGAAGATGCTCAAATCATGACTTGGTTGTGGAATAGTATGGAGTCCAAAATTAGTGCCAACTTCATGTTCCTTGATACGGCTAAGGATATATGGGAGTATGCTAAGAAGCTATATTCTGGACAAGATAACACAATAAGGGTATATCAGCTTTATCAGGAGTACTTTGATTTACAACAAGGAACCAAAACACTAAAAGAGTACTATGCCTGCATGAAGAATATAAGGAATGAACTCAATGTCTATCATCTCCTCACTCCAGATATTAAAGTTCAGCAACAGCAAAGGGAACAACTAGATGTTACAAGAATTTTAGTGGGGCTGAAGTCGGAATATGAACCAGTTAGAGCCCAAATACTAGGGGGCTCTACTCTTCCTACACTTGAGGAAGTATTCTCAAGGCTTCGTAGAATTTCTTTGGGACAGACTGAGAACCCCACAAAGTCTAATAGATCAGCACTTGTGACAACTAGAGGAGGTGGACATAGTACAAGAGGGGGTGGTCATGCTCCCAGAGGAGGCCGTGGCAATTCCATGATTGGTCGGGGTGGCCGTGACTCAGGGGGAGGCCGTGGCAGAGGGAAAAATAACTCTACAAGGAAGTGTACTCATTGTGGTAGGAAAAGACACACAGTGAATTTCTGTTATAACCTACATGGCCCTCCCTCTAAATGGGCTAATCATGTTGTAGCAGGCGAGGTTGATATCAGTGACAGTAAACTGGCAGGCCGAACTCCTCCCACATTTACATCTACTTCTGGGAGGGAGATGGTGAGTGTACCGCGTGATGAGTATGAACGGTTCCTTCAAACTACTTCACAGCATACCACTGCCACACTTGCCCAATCAGATATTGCTTGCATGTCATCTAAAACTCCTTCCTGGATTATTGACTCTAGAGCCTCAAATCATATGACCGGGACTCCAGGTGTGTTCTCTTCTCTTTCTGAAACCTCCACATCAYAAAYTGTYACACTTGCCAATGGRTCCTCATCTCCCATCTGTGGTGTTGGTAATGTTGACATGGTTTCTGTCCCCTTATCATCTGTTTTATATGTACCTAAGTTTCCATTCAATCTTATGTCTGTTAGTAAAATAACCAAGGCTCTTAACTGTTTTGTTACCTTCTTTCCTCCCACTTGTGTTTTTTAGGATCTCAAGACAGGGAAGAAGATTGGTGGGGGGCATGAAGCTGGTGGATTGTATTACCTTGACGGTGGTGGATCTTCAATTGCACTTCAGACTTCCCTTACTCCTCTACCATGGCATTGCTTCATTCCAAAACTCTTCACCACTTCGCTGAACTTCCCAAACCAAGCACGTGGAGATTGCTTCAACCCATAAATTGCCTTCTTCAGTTTGCACACCTTACCAACCTCCCCCTGAGCAACAAACCCAGGTGGTTGCTCCATATATACCTCTTCCAGAACCAAATGTTAAGTTGAGCAGTGATACAGGAGAAGTATTTGAAGATCCTTGAAGGTATAGACGACTAGTGGGAAAGCTGAACTATCTGAGTATCACGAGACCCGACATCTCCTTTGCAGTCAGTGTAGTGAGCCAATTCATGCAGAACCCTYGTATACCTCACTGGGATGCAATCCTTAGAATTGTGAGGTATCTGAAAGGAGCTCCAGGCCGTGGRCTATTGTATAAACCAGGGGGAAAACTTGAAGTAGTTGGGTATACAGATGCAGACTGGGCAGGCTCAGTGAATGA